AGTTCTGTTATGTACCGATTTCCACTGGAAAACAACACCAGGCTTTATTTTCATTTGAGGAGAGTATACATAAAAACTAGGTAGAAAAGAAAGTACCTCAGTGCTTTTATTCAAGGTTTGAAATTCTAGTGGCCTCATAAAAACAATTGTACATTTACATGAATTGCAAATATTTCCTGATATATATATATAATTTATATTAAACATTAGATTTATCCATTCAGTGCCTTATTTGATTTACGTGTGATAACACAAACATCTTGAAATAAAACTTTCATGTATTTTACCTTTCAAAATATGATGACTTCATGATACATGTAGTAATTATAAATATAAATTAATATATTAATTCAGATATTAAGATATTGCCAAAATTGAAATAAAAATCAGCAGAAAGATGGATAATAAAAAAAAATTCCCCACATTCAAATTTTCATTCCCTAGGGTATAAAAATTCAAGGATTAATGCTATGTATAATTATATACTTTTATACTATGTATATATACTTTTATACATCCCAGAAATAATTAGTAAGTGCTTAAAAGAGTATTTTAATATTGAATACTAGTAATTATCAGAAAGGGGAGATATAAATTATGAGCCTTTGGTACTCTGTTGGTTGAAATTAATGTTCTACTCACTCTATTAGATAACTCAGCACTGACAAGTCGCACAAAGTCGCTGCTAATTTTTCTGTTTCATGTAAGGTTTGATATGCAAATGGCAGTTCTAAAGATATTCTTGCGAATTCACTATTCTTCAATGTGTGCAGCTTTGATAGTTTCTGAAAGAAAAAAAATAAAAAGCAAAAAATACTTTGAAGCCTATAAAGCAAAGGATACTTTAATTTTAGCTGGCATTAGACATCATGGCGAAAGACAGTTAAAAGCGAGATAAGAGCAATGCACCAGACCTGGGGATGAATTGAACATATTTTATTGACAATTAAAGCCAAAAGGATAAGACACAAGTTCTACAACAACTTAGATAGTCTTCTCCTTATACAAAATTTTATAATATTGCCAAAATAAAGAACAATTATTTTCAGTAACAATTAGTAGTGTCAAAGACAGTAAATTCTTGATACCAGAACACAATACTATATATACAAGAAATTAAGATTTTTCAGAGAATCGACCACACTCTTTTAAAAAGGTATGAATAACTTTAAAAATTTCTACATTTTGTTGATCAGAGAATGAATCAACACCCCATAACATCAAATGGACATCTATAATGTACAAATTGTTGAATGATAATAAATTATTCATTAGAGAATATCTTGCTGTTGCATATTTTCTACAAACAAAAAACAAATGATAGGAATCTTCTATTTGTCCACATGAACAATTTGGACTGTCAATTAGATTACAGCGAAATAGGTCAGAATTTAAAATACAATTATGTCTTAACCTTGTGTGAATGATATTCCAAAATCTCTTACCAAAAGAAAAATATTTTGGAGGTTTTACAATATTGCTTGACAAGCATTTTTTAAAACTTTTAATAGAAGTTGCCTCCCTATGTTAATTTTGATTGCATTCCACTTTCTAACTGTGTCTGGAATAAAGGATTTATTGAATAATTCTAATCTGCATTTTGGCAAGGAATAATTGGAGGAATTTCTAGTAGAGTATTGTGAAATGTTGCCTCTAATATCAGGTACTATATTTTGAATATAAGTAGGTACTAAATTGTTGTATATTTTGTACATTGTTACTAGATTTGTTCTATTTCTTCTATTTTCCAATGGTTCCCATCCAGTTTCCAGATAAAGTGAATTTTTAGAAGCAATAAGTGTAAGACCTGTTACAATTCTAGCAGCAAATAATTGAACTTTCTCAAGCTTTTCTATGTCTGCCTTTGTACACCCCGACCAAACTTCAACTGCATATTCCAGTTGTGGTCTGATAAAAGAAATATACATCTGGGACAAAATATCCCTTGACACATTAAATTTTAGTTTTTTCAGTAAACCAAGTTTTTTGTAAGCCTTCTTTACAATGATATCAATATAATCAGACCATCCCAAATTTGAAGACAGAAGTATCCCAAGATGTGTATGTTGTGTGACATATTCTATTTGACAGTTATCAAAAATTAGATTTGGAAATTGTTGCACAGCTTTCAAATGAAAAAATACAGCTTTTGTTTTCTGTGGGTTGAATTTCAACAGCCATTTTTTCAACCATTCATGTAATACTTTAAGATCATGATTAAGACTTTGTTCAATATGATTAATATTATCTGAACATTGTTGTAAAGAATTATCATCAGCATATAATCTACAAACAGATATCATATTTTGAGCAACGTCATTTACATATATCAAAAATAAGAGTGGTCCAAGTACAGATCCCTGAGGGACTCCAGCTTTTACATAACCAGTGGAAGAGAGCAAATTTCTGTACTTGACTTGTTGTGTTCTATTGCTTAAATAACTTTCAAACCATTTTAGCATTTTACCATTAATTCCGTACATTTGAAGTTTATGAATTAAGCCTTTATGCCATACTCTATCAAATGCCTTGGATAAATCACAGAACACCATACAACAGAATTTACCTTCATCAATACTTTTCACAATAGAATGGTATATTTCTAGAAGTTGATATACAGTAGAGTGCCCGGGTAAAAAACCTGACTGATATTTATAAAAAAGATTTTTTGAATGTAGGTAAGGCCATAATAAATAAATTGCTAGATTCTCATCCGAACTTTTTTAAAAATCGAGGCGGGCGGGCGGCTTTTATTTTATATTTTTTATTTTTTCAATTTTGCAGATTTTTTATTGACCTGGTCAATCGGTGTAATTATCTACAATACCCAAATAAAAGTCATAGTAAAGGTTCAGTTATCTCTTACTTCACATCATCTCCAATATTTTTCAACCAATGACCCTTGTTTAAAATATATACGCATGTATTACAGCAATTACCATCTTTTCAGCTGTCAAAATCATGTCAACATTCGCGGGATATAAAACGAAAGTAGAATGGTAGATGAATACCGATCCCGATCAGAATTAAACCGAAGAAAAACAGAAATAAAAAAAAATCGAGGCGGGGGTATAAAATCGGGGCGGGCGGGGATGAGAATCTAGGAATATTTTTATTATGGCCTAATTGTACACATGTTTGAAAATAATTCTTTCAAATATTTTACTTACACAACTCAACAAAGAGACAGGTCTATAATTTGAAGTTAGAGAGGGGTCATCCTTCTTAAGGGGGATGTACGGCCACTTTTAGTGCAGTGTGAGCAAAATGTAAACATTTCTTTAAATGGCTAAAATACATTATATTTTGATCAAATTTTAAGTCTTTTTGATAAAGATACAATAAATATGCATAACCGAATGCATGTTGTGCATATATAATCTATACTTTTGCAGAAAAATGCTTTTGATATGCTCCTTAGAACTGCGCAGCTACAGAATTCAGCAGAGCCTTAAAAAATCCAAAAAAATATGCAAACTGTGTATTAATGTTCTCTCTACAACCATTTGTTGAGAAAATGTCTAAATTTTGCACATTTAAATGATAATTTCAAGTTCAAAACAAGGTACCGTTGTCTTCAAAAAGAGTGTAAAGAACCATGAAAGTAGTTCATGGATAGCAGCACGTGGTCTATTTTTAGCACAGAATCTTGTTTTCCAGACCTCTTCTTAATATGGAGGGGCATAACAATCTTTAAATGTAGAAGAGAATTACAGTTGCAAAATATTTCAAATAATATGAACACTTTTAAAAGAGGAAAGGTGTTATAGTGTGGCTTGAAGTAATTTATTTAGTATTATTATCGAACAGTTGTTAAATAGTTTACGTATTAATATAAAAAAAAATTAAACTCTTTGATTCCAGGTAAGGAAAAATAAGCACCATCAAAGTTAAAAATTAAGAGTTTGTAAGTTTGCCACAGATAAATTATATTATCTATTAAAATTTTAATTATCACCAATAAAACACAAAGAAATTAGACACATAAAATTGATACGAATGACCTTGTTTTAGTACCTACTAGTACGAAGCGTTATCAAAAATTTCGCGAAATATCTCTATATCTACAAAACCACAATTCAGATTAGATAGCCAAACACAAGTTCTATAAATAGCATATGCTGAAGTTTTGCTCCTTGTTTGCGATGTCACAATCTGAAAATGACGTCATTATTCAGGTACTTTTGACGAAAAATGGTTGTCTCAGTGGAACTCGTTCAACAAACGACTATAATATTTATGGCACATGTATATCTTACAAATGCCTTAGAAGTAGCGTATAAGAATTTGTTCACAGTTTATTAAATGGCTTCATATAATTTCAATCAATGATTGGATATCGTTTTAGTGAAGGAAGGCAGATGGTTAAATATGATACTTGTTATGTTGCCCGGTGAAAGCAAGTTTGAAAAGGGATGTGTTTTTTTAAAGCAATATGCTATCAAAGACCTTCAATTAAAATTTTACACTTTGAAAAATACTTGAATATTTCAACAATAATATAAATATCAAATACCTAAGATATTGTTTACTTTTTTATCACCGCTCGTATACTGTGTCAAATAAACATGCATTTACAATTTTCATTACAGAGGAGCAACAGTTGAAAAGGCATGAAATCATTCACAGTGGGTTAGGAGATTTAATGAATAATTTTTTTTTTCTATTTGCCCATATTTCCAAAATTACAAATGTACAAAGTAAAGAGAAAAAATCAACTTATAAACATCTCTAAAATGATGTTTGGTGGTCCTCCCAACTCAGGGAAAAATTATTGGGTCCGTATTTATGGGTGAGAAAAAAAATTCCTTAAAATTTAAACAGAATTGTTGACGGAAGAAAAAGAAAAAAATATCGTGTAATGGGATGTTAAAAAAATGAGTCGGGCCATTTCTAGGCAGTAGATCGGGAGAGAGGGCAACCAAATATTTTTATAACAAGTGGTCTTATAAGGCTAGTACATGTTCCATCTAATACTTAGTAATGCAATTTTTTAAATCTTTGTCACTGTTTTGAAAAACAAACATAGGATTTTCGGGGCGGGGGGGGGGGGGGGGGGGGGGTTAGCACTCTTTTTTTTGCAATTATAGACTAGCATATGCAATGGACCTTTCTTTGCAAACATTGTGCTCGTTTCTAAATTTCATAGAAACAACTCATTATATTTCATCAAGCTTCGTATGTTCAATGAGCGAGAGCTTACAACGTTGTCAACATAATGAGACATGATGCGTTTTTGTGTCCAAACATGACCCCATACAATGTGTGGGTCATTGCAAACATTCTAGATGTTTATGTGAGGTGCCTGAAGGAAATCCTATAACTGCCTATTTTTTCTATCTAACTTCTAAACAAAATAGACATATGTACCAACTTTTCGAATGTAAGACATGTAATTACAATTTATTTTTCATGCACTGCATATTGTTTAACATTTTCAAATTAAATGCTAAGCATCCTCCTTGCAGTGCCCCATTTGAAAATAACTTCTATCGCCACAGAAAAAAGACCCACCGTAAACACATATGTTTAGGACATTTTTATCTTTTTTTTCTTGAGTTTTAAAGAAACCAACAAATTATCAAGACTTGTACATGTTCCATAAAAATTAAATATAATCATGGTAATAAACGGATCTATCCACAGCAGATATATGCACATGCCAACCATGTGCTTAGTGGAATAATATTTACGAGGAATTTCGAGTTGTAAACAGGACATTTTTTCCCGATTTGCTGGAGTAGGGTTAAAATCGCGTTTTTTCATTAATCAGACGATGCGATGCAACAAATAAAAGTAGTAAGTAATATAACCTAATGATTATTACTTAGTAATTTCTTGTCTTGATGTTATTATGGTCGCATTTATTCTAAAATCATTGTTATTCGAACTCTGTGTGACAGAGGAATGGCGGACGAAATAAACACATGGCCTCAGGAAGACACCCATATGAAAAATCAAATTTTCAAGAATTATGGATAATGACAAGAAAAAAACGAAACAAATGGTTGTAGCCATATTATCAATGAATCAAACTAACTCCATTTTCAATGCATTTTTCATATCATGAATGCTGTAGCTGCGCAGTTCTAACAAGATTAATTTTCTCCTAATTAAGACAAAATAAACTTGATTATTTACTAATTTTGGTCTCTAACAGTAGGTAATTAGTGCATTAGCACTTTGAGTAACTTTGAGCTAGTTTAGTAGAGTATTAAGCGCATTCTTGGTATTTCTTAGTTTACAGCAGACTAGATCCAATATGGCTTGTACATCCCCCTTAAATAGTGGAAGAACATATGCCAATTTCCAACATTCAGGAAATGTTTTTAATAATAATGATTTATTAAATAAAATACACAGTGGTTTTGATATAGTATTTTTACAGGACTTTAACATTTTGTGACTGATGCAATCTGGACCCACTGCTTTATTGACAGGAATTACTGATATTATATCTGTAATCTCATATTCTTGAATTTGTATTTCTGGAAATTTATCATTACATCTAATTTCTAATTTTGGAAGTTCATGGTCACTGTCGTCTAGAAAAGTGATAGATGTAAAATACTTATTTAAGAGTTCAATCTTGTCAGAGTCTAGTATTGCAAATTTATCTGTGTTAGTGTCATTTATATACTGAATTGGTGGTATTTCACTCGTCGATTTAGTGTGAAAAAAGTCTTTCAATAATTTCCAGTATAATTTTTGATTATTCTTATTAGCGTCTTTTAGATGAGAATCGATGTTATCGTAATAATTAGTTATGGCATGTTTTTTCATGTTATTAACCTTATTTCGTATTTTACGATAATTGTTGCGATCAGATTCTTTCTTAGTTTTTTGTGCTTTTTTCCTAAGTCTATTGCGATCATGAATAGTTTTCTTTAAAAGAGAATCCATCCATGGTTTATCGTTTGGTCTTATGGTTATTGTTTTTTCGGGTATGCATTGGTGAATTATAGAATTAAACTCTTCTGTAAAGTTTTTTGTAGCAGATTCCATGTTTTCTGTGTCATCAATAATGCTATTCCAGTCACTTTGTAGTATGAGTGTATTTAGGAGTTCTATATCTGCATGCTTGTAATCCCACACTTTGCGTTTGTATGCCATATTAATGCTATTGTTCTGATGAATATATATGTAAGTAGCCCTATGATCACTAAGTGTCTGAGCAACATTTAAGGTGCCAGAATCATGTACATGTATATTTTCACTGATAATTATAGGATCTATGAGAGTGCCTGTGTTACAAGTGATTCTTGTTGGTTCAAGTATAATGTTTGTTAATCTGCAGCTTTCCAAAATTGTATTTACTTCATGTGATGCATTTAGTTTTAAGAAATCAACATTAAGGTCACCAAGTATTACAATATTATTCGAGATATCACTGGCTTTTTCAATAGACCAAGAGAACTTTTGCCAAAATGTACTACTAGTATGTGGTGGGCGATAAATACAGCATATAAGAAGGTTTCCCTTTGATTGGGGTATTTCTATCCATAATATTTCTGTATCAATTGGTTCTAAATCTATTCTACGACTTGCCTTAATAAAATTTGAGACAAAAATCATTACACCTCCACCATGGGAGTTTCTATCTTTTCTAAAAATACTCCTAAAACCTTGTATAAATAAGCTTTCATCTGTTATATTTGGGTCCAAGTGCGTTTCACTAAAACACAATATATCAAAATCATGTACTAAGTACATAAGGGAATCAATCTTATTTCTTATACTTCTGATATTGAGATGTAAAATATCAAGAGAATTTTCAACATTTGGACCTGGATTTGTTTCAATATCACCTGAGCGTAAAAGTATGAAAAACATAAATAACTGTGCAAAAAAATTAATGTTGAGGGACCAAAATGCCAGACACCTGTATTGTTGCTTAAAAACACCAAATACAAACAGTAAATTTTTAAAAAGATTTGCAGTTTTAAAGATTCTTATAGCTGACCTTATCAGTATGCTATGACACTGGATGTAAAAAACCCCAATAGCGGCACGATACTGCTCAACAGAATTACCCATTATCTATAAACACTTGTGGACACACTTCAATGTTTAATTCTGTGAGCCGCCTTAAAATGGGATTTATAAATGACATAATAATTGTTTGGCAATATGTAGCATTTGTCAATTCAAAGAAAATAGAAAATAAAAGGAATAATAACAAAGTATATAAAGTAGGGACCATAGAGTTCATAAGATGGAACGGTTCCCAAGCAGGTAAAAAGATACGAAAAGAATCGGGCAGAGTGCCTCTGTAATATTTACACACACGTATTTTAGTGTAAACAATACCAAATGAAACATCTATATACATACATCTTTCCATGTGGGAGTAGTGTGACCATAAAAGCAGTTTAAAGATAAATATAAACATAAACTTGAACGTGAACATACTTTACATGATCATTTGGGACATCCGAAATGTTTATTTATAATATATCAGTAGGTGAAAACGAAAGTAGTACAAAGCGCTGATGTGATGTAGATCTAAGCGTCTCAGAGATGTGAACACGTGGACGTGTTTGTAATCAAAACAAGGTATTTACATTGTCCTTACGATATTGGAGTCGACGCCAGGACCTGTTCTCCTTCGTTGTGAATGGCATCGTCTTCTTCCTCGTAAAAGCAATCCAGGTTGTCGACGGTGTTTATGGGTATTTTTTTCCCTTTTTGACCACGGAGTTTAACGTAAATTCGGCCGTCGTATGTCCAACAACTGTCCACTTTCTTCTTTTTCACGAGCTCACGCGTTTTCCCGTACAGCTCCGCTCGTCTTGATGTTAGGGCTTCGTTTACGTAGATCGGACCAGTTTGCTTTGATGGGTTATGGTTATAGGACTTGAGATTTCTCTTATTTCCGTACACTCTGGCCTTCTCACGGTAACTGACGAATTTAGCGATGATATCCCGTGGTTTGTTTGGTCCAGGGCTGTATTTTCCTACTCTGTGAGACCTTGAGATATCTTTCACTGTTATTTTCTCGGTGTTGTCTTTAAGAATTAAACTGTTGACAACATTTAGAACTAGTTTGTCTGTGTTTTCACCCTTTTCTTCAGGTATTCCTGTGATTTTCAAACAATTACGTCTCGAATATTGCTCCATTTCGTCAAGCCTAGATGTGAGCTCGCTTACTTCCTTTCGAAGTGACGTAATTTCTGAGACAAAGACTTCGGCAAGTGCACTTTTAAAGTTTTCTTTGTTAATTATAAGATTGACTGCTTGTTTGAAAGAGTTCTCATCTGATGAAATGGTGTCTAATAAATCATTCAGTTTGCTGAGATCACCCGAGAGAATAACACTACTGTCCTGCCTTTGTCTCTTGCTCGGATTGATTTCAGCATTTACAGACAAATTAGCCATTATAAGTTGATCTGGCTTTAGAGATATGTATAATAAATGTATGAAGATAAACACAGGATGTACACACACTTCAAATTCACTAAAAAATAATGTCAACCTGGTGAGTAATTGTTCACAATGGCGGCATGCCTTCGATCTTTTTGAGATTCACTTGAGTTTATGGAACTATCACGAGCTTTAAGTATTATTTTCTTTAGCTCATTTGAACAACATTTGACTTACATAATTATTGATATCCAAACATTCCTGGAGATTTCAGTTTTCACTCAGAAAAGATATACATTATCGGAGCCCGAAAAATCGACACCTGCCTACATCTGTGACGTCACACTTTTTCCTGGGGATCATTGACAAAGCTGGCCTAGGATTATAGACAAGAGTGGAGGAATTTTGTTGCTGCCCTACATGACACAGGGTGTAAAGGACGATGATGATGATGATGATGATGATGATGAATAGTAATATTAAATAAATATTGGAGAAGAGAATTTTTTTGAAAAAATGAATAAGATCAATTTTCTTTTTAAAACTTTTGACGCTTTTTTCGTAAATACTTAATCAGGTTCATACCTGTTTCAGGTTCATACCTGTTTTTGTCCCTCAAAATAATTAGCTATGCACTGCACATACTTTTTCCTGAAAATAACATAAGAATTAAGGTGAGAATTGAGAAATTAAGAATTAATATTGTAATATTAATGTACAATAAAAAATCATTAATATTTATTATTATTTATTTTTTTTTTAAAGTGTTACCTCAAGTTTTCATCTGCTAAGTATTTTCTTTTGACTGCATCTCTAAATTCCGAAAACCCAAACCTTGAATTAAAAAATACCAAATTAACTGTGATGTTCATTAAGCAGAGTATATAATTGTTATTTTTATCAAAATTCTACATCCATACCTTTTAAAAGACAAATCCAGAAAATTCAAGGAAAGCTTCCTTGCAAAGCTTTAATTGTCTTTTTTCAAAATTCATTTACGTAACAGTAATCAAAATACAGAAAGTACTCTAGGGGACTTGAACTTTTGACGAAAAAAAAAA